AAAAATTCTGTTCAGAGCAGCAGGAAAACCAAAGAGACAATCCTGCTGGTCATGGTGAAAGGAGCAGTGTTAGCAAATGTTCTTTAAATAGAACTCAATTCTTATTCTACTTCTAACATTTCCAATAAGAAGTACTGCTTTCACTCATTTAATCATTAAACTACTGGCACTGCCAGAGTGCCCACTGTGTGCTAAGCAAGGTACTGGAGATAAGGAATGAGCTAACACTGACAAGTCCCCCTGCACTAACCATACAAAGAGAAGAGAGGACAGAGCTAAAAAAGCAAATAAAGAAATAATATTCCTGTGTGGAAGTAAGGTTTTTGCGGTTGTAAGCAGGTTAAGATGAGGCCACACTGCATTAGGGAAGCCCCGAATCTAATGACTGGTGTCCTTATAAGAAGAAGGACATTTCAACACAGACATATGAAGAAGGAAGAAGGACACATGCAGATGAAAGCAGAGATTGGAGTTATGCTGCCATAAACCAAGAAATGTCAAGGACTGCCAGCAATCCCCAGAAGATGGGAACAGGCAAGAAGAAGTGTTCCTCAGAGCCTCGGAGGGAAGGCAGCCCTGCCAACACCTTGACTTCGAACTTCTAGCCTCCAGAACTGTAAGAAGATAAATTTCTGTTATTTTAAGCCATCAAGTTTGTGATTCCTTGTTACAGCAGCCCTGGGAAACTGATACAGAAGCATATAAGACTGCAAGAAGCTGGGACTACAGAGATGGGGAGGAGTAACTTGCAGGACCTCCTACCGCTTCCCAAGCCTTGCTTTGGCTACTTGCAACTGAAAGCACCAACTGCGAAGGCTGTCAGTGACTGCCAAGCCACCTAGATGATCGACTCCTTAACACGCGTGGCAGTCCATCCAGTAGTTAGCCCTGTCAGAAAGCACTTCTTGATTCAGGAACAAAAATCTCTCATTCACACTCAGTGGATAATAAATCTACCCACTGGCCCTATATCTAACTTTTAGGACCACAGAAAACAACACAAGCCATTATCTTCTTCACTACAACTTTTCACATTTTTTAATGGACAGCTATCACATTTTCTTGAAATTTCTTTAAGCTATAAATGCCCATGTTGTTTTGGCCATTTTCTCTTGTGATTCATTTCTTTATTAATTCAACACATCTTTATTCGGTGCCTACTGTGTCCCAGACACTGCTGAAGGCACTGGGACATAGCAGGGAACAAACGGACACAAGCCCCTGCCCCCATGGAGCGTACACGCTAGCGCTGAAGGCGATAAAACAAGTGATATACAAGTAACATACACACTCTTATCAGTCGGCAATAAGAGATGGAAGAAAAACTATCTATGTCAGATAGAGGTTGCAAGTTTAGATAGGGGGGCCGAAGGTCTTACCGAGAAAGGGACACAAATAAACACCTGAAGTATGGGCAAAAAAATCCAAGTGGATTTCTAGGACACGCACATTCTAGCCAAAGGAACAGCAAATGTAAAGGCCCCCAATTAGGATCATGCCTGGGATGTTCCAGGAACAGCAGAGAACAGCAGTTACCTGGTGCAGAGGGAACAAGAAGAGCAGTGAGAGAAGAGGTCTAAGATATAACAGCGCCAGCTCACACGTGGCCCTGGGTCACGGTGGGGACTTCGCCTTTCATTCCAAGTGAGGCAGGGAGCCAGTACAAGGTTGCGAACAGAGAACTGATGTGATCTTTCTAATGAGGGAGTTTGCTTTCTGTTTTCTTAAACTTGTTTATTTAATAAATCATGAACATTTGTTTCTCTAACCTGTCAAAGCATGGCGAGTAATATCCACCTGTTTGTGATTATGAGTAAGGGTGATTACGTGCGAAACATCATGGGACTTCATAGCACAGAGGGGCACCGGCAGGAACTAGCCATTTAGAGAGCTGCCCATGGCTTTCTGTTCATTTGTGATAAGAGGATAATGAGCTTGCTGTGGCACAATGCTGTACTTCTGCGTGAGTGGGACCCCTCTGGCTCTACACTGAAGCGAGCCAAGGGTGGGCGTGGAGAAACCAGTTGGGAGGCTGTTCCAGTAATCCAGGAGAGAGGTGCTGGTGCCCTGGACCTGGGTTGTAACAGTGAAGGTGATGAGAGGAGGTGGTGAGAACCTGGTCTACTTCTAGCTTGCAGACGTGTCTAGAGCAGGGCTAAGCAAGCTCCAGCCCATCAGCCAATGCTGGCCTGACACCTGTTTTTATAAGTAAAGTTTCACTGGAACACAATCATACTTACTCATTTACATACGGTCGGTCTATGGCTGTTTTTGTGCTACAGGGGCAGAGATGAATAGTTGTGACTTTATGGCCTTTTACAGAGTTTGCCAACCCTCAACGTTGAATATGAGATAAAGAGAAGACGTGATGTTTTAGGGTTAAGCAACGAGAGAAGGTGAGTTGTCATTTATTAACATGGAGTCCTAGAAGACAAGATGTGAAGAAATATCAAAGATTTTGATTTTGGACAAGTTAAATGTGAGATGTTCATTAGAAATCCAAGTAGAGATGTCAAACAGGTCATTAGCTATATGAGTCTGAGGACCCAGGAACAGGTCTGAGCTGGAGATATAAACTTGGGAATTATCAGATTAAAGATGGTAATTAAAGCCAGGAAATCAATAAGAAAATAAACATAGAGAAGACAAAAGATTCAGTACTGAGGCCTGGCATCCTAACATTTCCAAGTCAGGGATATGAAAAGGAACCACGCAAAGAACTAAGAGGGAACATATAGAATAGGATGAAAACCAGGAGAATGTGGTGTTCTGGAAGCCAAAAGAAAAAAGTGTTTCAAGAAGAGAGTGAAAGCCAAATCAAATGAGGCTGATAGGTCAGACCAGACAGTGACTCAGAGAAACCATGAGAGGCCTCATCTGATTGGAGCTGATTCAGCAGAGGGTGCAAGGACAGAAGAAGGGGACAGAGAGGACAGGCAACTCATCCCAGTTTTATGTTGAGTGGTGCAGAGATGTAGGGTGGAAGCTGATGGGGGAAATGAGATCAAGAGAATTCCTTTTTTTAATTCCCATAATGGGAAAAGTAAGAGCACATGTACAGGCTGTTAAAAAAATCCACTTGACATGGAGAATCTGACGAAGCAGGAAAGAGAAGGAGCGAAGGCTCTAAGCAGGTGAGAGGAGATGGGATCTGGGGTCCAGGCTGCAAGAAGGACGGGACAGTTCGTGCACAGCAAGAACTGGGCAAATGTACAGGTAGGTAGTTGCATGTGATGACTAGAGCTTATACGGAACTTCTCTTTGGCCTGCGTGTGTTTTCTCAATGAAATAGGAAGCCTGGCCATCAGCTGAGAGAGTGCCTGGAGAAGGAGGGTTGTACTTCAGAGAAGAAGGTATGAAATAGACCAGAAGACAGAGTGAACTAGGAAACATGGTATAATTGGCTGCCAGTATTAATGGTGCACTTGAGTTTGTGATCATGAATTTGAAATAAGACAGACAACATGGTTCTGAGTTTTCTCTAACCTTGTTCCAGTGCATGAGATAAACAGTAGGTGAGGAAGGAGATTTAACCAGGATTACGGTTGAACCAGACAAGCAAGACCAAGTGAGACAGAGGCTCTCTCCTGAACAAATTCCAGCATTCTGTATATGACCTGATCTTGGTTAGACAGAGGGCACTATTGTTAGCACTGTTTCCAAAGGAAAAGATAAAATCACAACTAGAATCCCGAACTCTCCAATCCTATCAGGAGATCAGCACAGCTTCTCAGAGATGTACAGAGGAGACATTTCAGGCAAAGCCATTCTTTACTATTAATTGAAGTTTTGGCCTGAATCTCTCTCTTCTACAATTAATAGAATTAGGTATTTATATGGATGCCTAACCAGAGTCACAGTAACAGAAACTCTGTAAATACTTCTAATTGACAAATAATCCTAGACCAAGAAGGCAGACTATCTGGAAGGCTGACTATCAAATTCTTAGATGATATTATTATCAAGTCAGGTCACTTGGCACCTACTTTTACATAATAGGAGTTTAAGTAATTATAAAATAATAATTATAATGATGATAATATTTTGATAGAAAAGTTTCACTTAGGAAAAAGATACTTTCAAATATAAATATAAATTAATATCATCATTTCCCAACAAAGACAGTCCTAGATATTAACCATCAGCTTGTTTATTACTAAGAAATAAACCCTTACCATAATTAAATAGTTTCCAATGAGATAGTTATAAAACATTACACCAGGCCAAGTTTTATACATTGAAAATTTAGACAAAAAGTTCTGTGCCAATGTCGAATGAAAACAAGGAAATCCATAACTAGAGGCTTGTCATTTTGACCATTATTTCAATCTTGCATTTTCAGATTAGTTTATCTTGAAAGAAAAACATAAACCAAATTCATAAAATCAGCAGAACCAAGAAAGTCTTAGCTACCTTGTCATCAGAGATGAGACCTAAGCCTGTTTGAAAAAAAGATAAAAGTATGGGGAAAAAAACCCAATTAGTGGTGGGGTGTGGTGGCTCACACCTGTAATCCTAGCACTCTGAGAGGCTGAGGCGGGTGGATTGTTTGAGCTCAGGAGTTCGAGACTAGCCTGAGCAAGAGCGAGACCCTGTCTCTACTAAAAATAGAAAGAAATTAGCCAAACTAAAAATATACAGAAAAAATTAGCCAGTCATGGTGGCGCATGCCTGTATTCCCAGCTACTCAGGAGGATCACTTGAGTCCAGGAGTTTGAGGTTGCTGTGAGCTAGGCTGACGCCATGGCACTCTAGCCTAGGCAACAGAGTGAGACTCTGTCTCAAAAAAAAAAACCAATTAGTTTTAACAGATCATAATCAAAATGAACAGAAAGTAACAAAACACATTGTGGTGATTTTTATCTTTAAACTGCTTGCAGGATTTTAAAAAGTTGATGTCCACTTAATTTCATTCTGTTATGGAAAAAATCATAACCATCAGCTTAAGAGAAAGCTGAGCTAAGAATTACAACAATCCCCAGGCTGAAGGTAAGGCTTACCTGATGCGCCTATGGGGGAGGTAGCTGGGGTCATGCTGTGGACGTTGAGACCGAGACTCTGCGAAGGGCCGGGGGCTGACGCTGCGATAGGAGGCCCCGGAGGGTTCTCCCTCTGGGGAGAGGTGAGCGGGGTGGTTGGCTGGGAGGTCTGCCCACCAGCCAGCCGTGCGAGGCGCCTCCGACGAATCTGCACCAGGGAGAAAAAAGGACACTCTGTAATTAAACAGCAGAAACACAATTCTGCCCAGGAATGACAACATTACTGACAACCATCAATAACCACATGAGAGCTTAACTAAATATGCCTGGAGAAAAAGCACTCATTTGAGAGAATAATCCACTGCACCAGGATTCTTACAAGCCATCACCTCACTTTTTAAAAACCGTATCTCTTAATTGCCTTACTATCTGTTTATGCCACCTCCTTGACTGATATCGTGAATTTACAGTGAGCATATTACACTCTTAAATACACTAAAACTTATCATTTTTAACAAGATGATATAACTTGGTCATTTTAAATAGGTAGGATTTTAAAATAAACAACCAATTTAATTCACTAAAACAAGAGAAAGAAACAAAAGTTACATGAAGACATAAATTTTACCATCACTTTCAAGAGCAAAATTATTCGTTGTTTTTTTTGTTTTTATTTGATTGCAATAAAAATAGAATCTGTCACTTCTTCGTCTTAAACTCCAGAGTTATCATGTGAATACAAATGTGTAGCACAAAATCCCAATGGGTAAAAAAATGTTTTTCCTACATTTTCATAATCATTAATTCTTAACTAGTCAATAAACTCTCACTGACCACCTGCTGTCTCACAACAGTTACGAGAGGACACACAACAGTGAGGACACACAACAGTGAGGAGAAGGCTGCTGGCCCTAGGTAGGAATCAAAGAAAAAAGCCACATGAACTAAGAGTTTGCCATTCTAACATTGCTTCTTTAATCATTCTCAGGTAAGAACATTCTGATTCTTGACCCCAAAGTTCAGAAGCCCCTCCCCATCCTCCCCTGTAAATATATTTATCAATGCATTTATCAATCTACTTACACAAAAGTCTGAAGTTGTTTGGCTGGTCATCTGTCTACTTAATTAGATTAAATCTCTTGAAGGAAAGCTTGGATCTTATTTATTTAATAAATACATATGTAGTGGACATATAGGAATTACATTTATCGGGCGTCGGGCAGATGGGAGGGGGAGGGGGGATGGGTACACACATACATAATGAGTGTGATGAGTACCATCTGGGAGATGGACACGTTTGAAGTTCTGACTGGGTTGGGGGGGGGGCAACGCAACATATGTAACCTAAACATTTGTACCCCATAATATGCTGAAATAAAAATAAACACATATGTAGCACTTACTATGTTATATACATTTTACCACAATTTATTTTATTTATTTTTGAGACAGAGTCTTACTCAGTTGCCCAGGCTAGAGTGCCGTGGTGTCAGCCTAGCTCACAGCAACCTAAAACTCCTGGGCTCAAGCGATACTACTGCCTCAGCCTCCCGAGTAGCTGGGACTACAGGCATGCGCCACCATGCCCGGCTAATTTTTTATATATATTTTTAGTTGGCCAATTTATTTCTTTCTATTTTTAATAGAGACGGGGTCTCACTCTTGCTCAGGCTGGTCTCGAACTCCTGACCTTGAGCAATCCTCCCGCCTTGGCCTCCCAGAGTGCTAAGATTACAGGCGTGAGCCACTGCGCCCAGCCCATTTTACCACAATTAAATAAAAATAAGTTTTAAGTTCAACCTCTGTGGAAAGCAATATGGAGATACCTTAAAGTGATACAAGTGAATCTACCATTTGATCCAGCAATCCCATTGCTGGGCATCTACCCAAAAGATCCAATGACACTCTACAAAAAAGACACCTGCACTCGAATGTTTATAGCAGCACAATTCATAACTGCAAGGCTGTGGAAACAGCCCAAGTGCCCATAAATCCAAGAATGGATTAATAAAATGTGGTATATGTATACCATGGAGTGCTATTCAGCCCTAAGAAATAACAGTGATATAGCACATCTTATATTTTCCTGGTTAGAGCTGGAACCCATACTACTAAGTGAAGTTTCCCAAGAATGGAAAAATAAGCACCACATATACTCACCAGCAAACTGGTATTAACGGAGCAGCACCTAAGTGGACACATAGGTACTACAGTAATAGGGTATTGGGGAGGGGGGAGGGGGGCGGGTATATACATACATAATGAGTGAGATGTGTACCATCTGGGGGATGGTCATGCTGGAGACTCAGACTTGTGGGGGGAGGGAGGGAAAGGGCTTTTATTGAAACCTTAAAATCTGTACCCTCATAATATGCCAAAATAAAAAAATAATAAGTTTTAGATTCTCTGACTCAGTTATAACACTGTCAATAGCTAAAGCCACCCCCTTAGCTGGTGCTAATCAAATGAACTCTCAGAGGTAAGTGAGCTCCAGAAGACACAGTGTAAATAGTAAAGCCAGTTAGAAGAAATGTATGGAGTTCCAGGCTGAAACATTTTAAGAATAAAACCTTACCCTATCTGTTTGTCTGAATAATGACAATCGAGTATCCACTTATGTGAAAATTGAAACTTGTCATTTTCTGTTCTGCATTTAGTAACCAAGAAAGTGTCCAAAAAAATGCAAAGTTGTATATAAGAAATACTTTGGAAAAATTCTAGACTCAAAGGCAATGTTTTCTTTTGTAAAATATAACTTTAGGCTCGAAGGATCACATACTAATTGGATGTCATGAATAACTGTAATCAAATTGAGGGCCTTAGCTCTTAACAATTCACAAACTGCCTGTTTTCTTTGGTAGGTCTTCAAAATTTATTTCTGAGTCATCTCCTTCTAGCCAGAGGAAAAACGAAATAGTAATTTTCCTGACATTTTAATATCTCTGAAATCTACATGTACCTTAAAGTCAGATTTATGAGTGATTATGGTTGTCTCTTGTAATCACTGTCAGCAAGGAAGACAGAGTCTGGTATCAAAACCTTCACAGTGGGTACCAGGGGCTTTGAAGAAAATCCTGAAGATAACAGAAGGACAAACTATTCCCCTAGAAACCAAACTACCAGGGAAAGGGGAGAAGAGGGAGGTGCTGATCAGATGTGGTCAGCAACAATCCCCAAACAGCCGCAAAATTAAAAGCAGAAAGCATAAGAGACCACCACCAATGGCTTTGTTCTTTGCCAAACATGCCACATCACCAACTCTCTTGATGGCACAAATGATACTGAGTGAAGAAGCCCAACCATTGACAACCCCAAGACCAAAGCCAGATGAGTCAGACTCTGAATATTAAGTTGTAGGAATATCCTAATCACTTTACTTTGTTGATATTTTCCTTTTTATTTATGAAAATATCATTAATATACAATTTAAAAAATCTAAGTATTGAATAAAATCCTAAGTTATAAGAAAGCATGTTATATTTCCCCTACAATCCGGCCTCCACACAGTAATCACAGTAATTCTTTAAAAACACAAATCACTCTCCCCTGTTTATGCTCTTCAGTGGCTTTCCACTGCACTTGGAATAAAAACCAAGTCCTCACCAAGAGCCACTGGCTGCCTCTCCAGGCTCACGTGCTCCATGCCAGGCTATAGTCACACTGGCTCTCTGTCACCTCCTCCTGAAGGGCTTCCCTGATCACCGTATCTAGCACAGCCCCCATCTCCCACCATATTTGATATTATAGCCCCCATTCACATCTTTCAAGTGCTTTTCATGGGCTGGAAATACTATATCCGTTTCGTATGTACTGTCCTACTTACTATCTGTTTCCCCAGAAGAACAAAAGCTCCATGAGAAAGCCACATCTCTCTTGTTCACCACTGTACCACCAACACTGAGCACCGTGCCTAGCACAGAACAGCTCTGTACACATTGATTGACAGGAGAAATTAATAAATGGAGTGGGTGTAGGTGAAGTATTGAAGTCACACACAATGAATGTTTAACTGAATATTCAAAGACCAGTGTTTCAGATGATTGATATTGACCCCTCTTCAAGATGGTCATTCATTCAACAAGCATTCATCAAGCACAATGTGAAAGCACCACAGTAAATAGTTCCTGCTATCATGGAGCTCCCATTCTAGTGGAAGCCAAAAGGACATTAGTCAAATGAACAGAAATGACGCCAAGTGGTTATGAATGCCACTAACAGTGAAGTAGGGGATATGAACGATGAAGGATACCTGGGCATGCTAGGAGGAGGAGACTACCATTTTTATATAAGGTGGATGGAAATGCCTTTCTCAAAACACCTGAAGGAAAGGAGGAAGCAAGCTATGTGGGAATGTGGGCGTGTGGTCCCAATGTTTGGCATGTTCAAGGTCGGCAAGACCAGTGCCACAGGAACAGACTGAGCAAGGGAGAAAAATAGCAGATAATGAGATCAGAGGTAGGAAGATTGCAAGGGCCTCAGAGGCTACAGTAAGAGCACTGAAACCACCAGGCGGTGTTGATTAAAAATAAACAAACAAACAAAACACCTCACACCTGTAATCCCAGCTTGAGGCCAGGAGTTTGAGGTTGTAGTGAGCTGTGATGACACCACTGCACTCTACCCAGGGCGAGAGAGCGAGACTCTGTCTCAAAAAAAAATAATAATAATAAAATAAATTTTAAAAATAAAAATAAGAAAAGCTAAACTATAACATTAGTTCAGATCATGGTTATACCTCGGTGGCCAAGGGTGGAAGAAGACTGGGAAGGACTAAGGAAAAAGACTGGGAAAGACATAAGTGAGCTTCTAGGGGTCTGGTAATGGTCTTATTATTCTTTTTATACTGGACGCTAATTCACAGGTATGTTCCTATGAAAATTCACTTCGTTGTATACTTACAACTATGGGTAATAAGTTCATAACCTATACGTCTTTTGTATGTTTCAATAGTCTCTTAGATGTTTCAAATAGGAAATAATTTTGGTCTTTTGGATGTTTCAAATAGGAAATAATTTTTTTTCTTTTTTTTATCCTCTTTTCTTTAATTTTTTATTTTATTAATTTTTTTTCATTTTTTTTATTTAGCCCTTTAACTTTGGTAGTTAGGAAATAATTTTTAAACTTTAATCCTACAAAAAAGCCCACTGAAAATGCCACATTTGTTATGAGAATTCTTTTTTTTTTCTTTATTTCAGCATATTATGGGGG